TATGTGCTTTCAAGCAATATCTTTTTGTTGGCTGGTCGGGCCACCTCTTTGGTCCAGACTGAAATATCTCAATAACTGTTGAATAGATTGGTTTTGACATCTATGGACTCTATTTTCCTGCAATAGGGCAGAGCGCTAAATTCGTCTCTAAACTCCAGGTGCAAGATAAATATGGGTGTGTTCAACAATGTTCTGCAATGTTGGTGACCACAGACGCAGTGCACTTCTGTGTGCAACCAGATGTTACGGACGTACTGTGTAGGACAAGCGCAATGCATTATTATAGGAAGGAATCCATTGTGATTGGCTGGCTCAAGTTGTGCCCAAATAAACCAACTCATCAGCTTTAAAGAGCAGGGCAGAGACCTGACTGATGTCAGGACATGGAAATACATGACAGGAAATTCTTTGGCTTTCTTCTTCTCCTGCCAGCTATGTACTTCATTCCTAAATTAACAGTGACAAAACTATTTATGTAGAAGTTCTGCACATAAATATTCACCCAGTAGTCTGCAAATATCACTGACCAGTGTTCATGCATGGAAGACAGAAAGTCTCTGATCCTGTAACCAGGAGCAATTATACTGTATATCAACAAACACTTTCCTCTGAAACAGTATTTAAGAGTAATAAGTGAACTTCCACATCAAGTCGTTGATGCTATGTATCACAAATAACACACACACAATACCCCCCTGTGACTCTATATTATGGTATATACAGTAATGTCTGTGCAGATTCTCAGTTATCCAGGTCATAGTAAACTGAAAAAACCTTAGAAAAAATCAACTGGACTTGGATTTCTAGATCAAAGATGTTTCACCTCTCATCCAAGAGGCTTCATCAGGTCTGACTGACTGGTGTTGAGCTAGGGATATTTATCCACCTCTGTGGTGTTTCAGTCCTTTGAAGGACTCAGTCGTTAAGGGACATTGTTGGCCTTCAAAGGACTGAAACCACAACGAGGGGGATAAATATCTAGAAATCCAAGTCCAGTTGATTTTTTCTAAGGTTTATTCAGTTTATATACAGTAATATGTGGTCGTTTTGTGCTATTAGGCTGTAAAAGCATCACTTATTCTCAGTCTAAAGATAAATGAAGTGGAGATCTTTAGCTTTCCACAGTGTGACGAAAGGAAATATGAGCTGGCATTTGGAGTCTGTGTCCTGATGGCACAGTGGAACTGTTTGTTAGCAAGCATGCACAACCTCTCTGTTTCCTTTGCCCAGCCTACTGTACATTCCCTTTCTGCCTCCAGCTCTCTCCATGGAATGAGGGCTGTGTGGAGGACAAGAGTGACAATCCAAACCCTCCATTATGTACCTGCAACCTTTTTCATTACGGAGATGATGAAAAAGAGAGCTACGGAGGGGATGAGCGGAAGAAAGGGTTGTGGGCTGAAGGGCCACAGAGGCTGTGCTATATTTAGACTGACTGCATCATTGCGCCCTTCCTCCCACCTCATCTTCTGCTATCTCCCCTCATTACTGGCCATGACTCTGTCCATGAGCATTCTTGAGAAAAATGAGAGTCCACTAACACACACGCACTCAACCATATACGATGCAAACATATGCACAGTTTGTCCACTGCTTCACGTGCCCAGCTTGCTTTAAGATTCAGGTCAGAAAACACAAAGTCACACACACACACACTGTGTTTTCATTCCTTGTGGAGACTTTACATTGACTTACATTTATATCCTGTAGACTTATCCTAACCTTAACCATAACCACTACTTGCCTAACACCTAACCCTGACCCTGACCTTAACCTAACCCTAACCTTAAACCATGTTGACTCCCCACATTGTGAATGTGTTAATGTCCCCATAATGTCAGTAATACAAAGCTGCACACACACACAATCAGTCACATGATGTTCGACCTCCGTCTGTTCTGAATAATCATATAATAAACCCGTGACACATACAGTATACTGAGAAGAAAAATGATTTGAGTATATACTTGACTAGCTTGCTTATTCACTTTCCTCTTTAGAAAACACTTCTGTTGTTTCCTTTCAGCTTATTTAGTATAGACAGTGGTATAGAAATGTAGTACACAGTCGCACAAATATTATGTATTAAAATAAAATATAACGTTATGCACCATAATGCCCCTTTTGAAAAACACATTAGGCCGTACTAACCAGCCTGTAAGAGGGCATACAGACTTTTATGTGGTTTGAATTCAGATTATTCACCATGCAGGTAGTTTCCATGAAACACATTGCCTACAACAACTATAGCACGGTGCAACAACTTGAATAACAATCATGCAAACACATTTGCTCCATGTTCATTTCCTTGCATAGTTAATATTTTTTAATAATATTAATGCCAGAGATGTATGGAAGGAAATAAAGTTGCACCGATTCCAATTCTTTTTTAAAAGTTGCTAATACTAACTTGA